GTACAAACAAAAAAAATTAAACCAATCAACAAAACGAAAACTTATTTCTATTTAACAAATTTTTTCCTAAGCTAACAATTTATATATATAAATACATTTATTCATTTATTAGTTAGAGAAAAAAATATTAATTATTTTACTAACAAACACTAAGCAATTTTAACACAATAACTCTTTGTAGACTTTTTCTATATAGAATTTTTTTAAAAAATCAAATTAAATTTTAAAAAATAACTAAAAAATTATTAAACTATTGGTGAAAAGTATTAAAAATTTTTAATTAAAATTTGGTAACCTAAATTTATTATAAGTAAAACAAATTCTCGTTTATTTGTTTATTTTTTGTTCACCACAAACAGAAATCCGAGTACAAATATTTGAAACAAACCACAAGATTGCAATATCACAACGCCGCCTCACCCGTTTTGTCCTTTGAAATGCTTTTCTATATATTTTCATTTGAAATCAAATTCTTCTATATATATATATACATAATAAATATTTGAATTTGTATATTTTTTAAAAGAAATTATTATGGTATTTATTTACTTTATAAATTTAACTTTTCAAATATGCTTTGTAATTTTTGAAAAAAAATTTTCCTTTATGTATATAATTTGCATTATGTTGAATTGTTATATTATTTATTGATATTTATATTGCTATTATTTAAGTCAATTCTATTTTAATTATTTTAAATATTTTTTGATATATTTTAAATAAAACGCAAGTCTCTTTGCATGCCCTTTTCGTAATTCTATGTAACAAAATCCGAGTATAATATAATAATTGCTTTTATATAATTTTAATTGGCAATTGGTGCATTTGTTATTCATATTTCCTTTAATTTATTTTAGTTTCATTGTATAATATTTTATTTTGATTTGAAATAATTATTACTTTTAAATTAGTTTTTCTTTTAATTTTTTTTTTTTTTGATTTGACTTGACTTGATTTCCTTTCATTTGATATGGTTTAAAACTTTTGGAAATATTTTAACATACACACACAGAAATGTAAAATAAAACAATAATTTTTAACTATATTAATAATAATTTAATATAAAATAAATTTAAAATAAATAATTTTGTATTTAATTTTAATTTATATGTAAATTAATTTTAAGAAGGAATATAGAAAATTGCTTAAAAATTTTCTTTTTAAACATGAAAATATTATACTACGTAAATAACAACTGTAAGAACCAACCCAATATCTAAGGTTCCTCTATGGCTATCCCAAGCTATTACATCCAAAATAAATTCTATTACTGAAACTGCTAGTCATGAGATATGACATATCTTATAAATATTCCACCTATACTATTATTTGAAATATTCTATGGTACATTGACGCAGTGAGATGGATGGGACTCTGCAGAAACCCACCAGCTATTAAAATGTAAAAGTGCCTAGATGCACTAACTCGGAAAAGGCTCAACATAATTTTAATAACATAATAATTTACCGAAATAACTTAGCTTTTTCTTTGAGATCTTTAATCACACTCACATTAACTATATTATCACAACTGCTTACCTTCTTTATCCTTCAAACGATCCTAACTGAAGAGATAATTCTCAGCCCTTCCGCTGAACACAAAATAGTATACCATTAAAGATTTCTTAATACCATTCGAGTATAGAAGCTTCAATTTCAGTATTCTTGCTCCCTGATAGAACTTCTGGGTTAACAACTGACTCTAACTAATTAGACAATACTCAGTCCTTCAAATGAACACCGAAATGTCTCCCGTAATAGTTTTCTTAATACCAGATAAGGATAGCAGCTCCAATTTTAGTATTCCTCTCCGATCAAAGATCAAAACTTGGTAGCCATGCAGAATGTAACTATAGGTCTTTCATAAAATGCCACTTCACATCAAATGAAAGTAAATGAATCTAGACATTTTACCCGATTAAATTTGGGTTTAAAACACGGCCAGCATAAAACTCTGATTAAACGCCAACCACAACTTTTCAGGATAACCAAAGGTGTGGTTCCTGACCCCATGGTATCAGAGTTAAACCCCTAATCGGATGCCACAAATGAAACTCACTTACTACTATTCCAAACAGTATGGAACGCTACCCATTGCATCTCAGTCATCTGTTACGACAAGCATGAATTGCCTTAGGAATATTCTTACCCCAATCCCGAAGTCGATTGTCCCTTTCGATGACAATCCACTTTTTTATTAGAGACTTTGTCGTGGAGCAATATATTCTGTAATAAGACTTTGATCTACAGAATTCTAGCTTTGATTCAGCCCTATCGATGTTGTCCAAGTTCTCATTGCCATTGATTCCAATATGAAATTGTGCTTTTATAAAATAAATGTATTCAATATTTTCATAAGATTCTTAAGTACACAGAAGCAACTTTCTATATTCTTTAATATTCATATAAATATAAAAAAAAATTATATATTTATATAAATCAAATATTTCTTTCTAGCAATATAGTCAATTAAATATTGTAAAATTTTAAATAAATATAATATATTTTAATATAATTGTTCTGTATAAGTATTAGTGCAAAATCTTTTTAACCAATCTCTATTTTAAAAATTTAAAAGCTACAATTAATTTATTTTATTCATCTTTCCTACACTACAGGTGTTGATGTCATTCAAATGGCCAAAAGACAAGTGCTTTCTTCAGCAGCAATTGTAGGCATTGCAGTGGGTGGAGTACTACTTCTGCTCTTCATAATCGATTTGCTCTGCTGCATGACAGTGCGTATGGGTGTTATGGCCACAATGTGTCGACGAGCGAAGCGATCACCATCAGAAATTGATGATGAAGCCAGATTGGGCAGGTATGTATCTAATAATTAACATATTTTTTAAATATATATAACAGTTATAATAAAAAATAATAATAAATTATTAAAATAATATTGCACTAAAAATTTTCTAACAGAGATAATTGGTGATTAACTTTTAATTTTTCCTCTATCATTTTCTTTTTCAAAATTATAAAATTAACAAAAATTAACAAAAATAACACAATGAATATTTATTCAACTCATGCTCAACAATAAAGTCAAAATATAACTGAAACGAGGAACATGCATCTTGAATACACTTGGGTGTTTGCAAGACCAAAATCATTGATACTAAATCGAAATTCTTTGATTTTTGTGTAATTATAATTTTAATTTATTTTATAAATAATTTCCCTAGTTTTTTACTCGCTTCAATTTAGTGTACATACATTTTTAGTGCAATATTATAGTTAAAAGTACATACATAAATCCCAAACCTGAAACCCACAAGTCTTCCATCCACCACATAGACAAAGTAACATATTACTTTATTAGATTTTTTTTTAATTTTAAGTTCTTTAATTTCCATATTACTTACTTTTTTTTTCTTCTTTATTGGTTCTGCTTTCAAGGTTTTACTTTTTTCTTTGTAAATAGAAATTCTTTTTGTCAAGTTTTTAATCTTCAGCTTTTGACTTACTTCTGCTATTCAGTTTTTAAATTTAAGTATTTTTCCATTATTTATTTTTTTTTATTTAACTTTATGTTTCATTTTCAATACATAATCGCCTTTACATTTTGTTTCACATCATACATTTGCATTCCTTAAACCAACCATTATTACATTCTGTGCCACATATGAAATACCAAAAAAAAAAACCAAAAAAAAAAACAAAAAAAAATACTGTCATCACTTCTACTACTACTCCAACCATATCCAAACATTCTAACCAAGCAGTCTTTACGGTTGGCGTTTCCCGCTACCTTATTGCAGTGGGCAGTTAGTTAAGGAGCCACCACCATCACCGCTACCACTACCACCACCAGTTAAGCTTGGTGGATCACCAATGACATCGCCATTGTACGTACCTAATCTACTACATATTCATTTACCTAAATATTTGCACATATTAATTCCATTACTAGATAAATAATCGTAGCTAATTTGTGGTATATTAAATAATATTTTATTTATTAATAAACTTAATTATATTATTATGTTTATAGTTATAGTTATAGTAGTTGTTAAGAATCTTAAAAGCTCTATCAACTGATTTTATAGCCATATATGTTATATCTTACATTGGTAATGATAGCGATCGATATGCTTTGATATCTCATCTATTTAAAAGTTTAGATAACCTAGGATATTTGTATGAAGGTTTTAGTATTTGACATTATGATAATTACAGACACATGTTAAGAGAATGACTTCTTCATTCGATAAATAATTTAATGATATATAGTTTTAATGGGCCGTGACAGTTACCAGTTCTACCTATGGTTTCAAATTTTCAACAACTTTCTTGAGTATTCCATACCGAATTTTAAGAATTATACATTCACTTTCAGGTTTGAAAGTAATGTTGGCTTATCCGTGTAAAAAAATTATTTAACTTACTTACTACTTACTTATTTGCCCATAACAACCATTTACCGGATTTCGGCCTGACACAACATGTCTCTCCAGCCGCTGTTGCTAGATACGCGTTTCCTCTGACTCCAGGTAGTGCTCCCCCAATTTGATCACTCTTACGGATACACGGTCTATCTCTACGCCTTCTTTCTGCAACTACTCCTTCAAATACCTTCTTCGATGACGCATTTTTATTCTTTCTCCACACTCCGGGTAGACGAATTTGAAGCGATAGCTGCGTCTAGTAGCTTCCATCCGAGCCAGCTCGATTAGTGGCTTAATGTGGCCAGTTGATATTATTCCCATAACAGTTTGAAATAAATGCTGTTGACTTATTGTTATGTTCAATTAGTACTTCATCTTATCTGTGCTACTATATATTTCTTATCATTATAATCCAGTAAAAATTTTTACAGTACTCTGAAATTTTAGTAATAAAATGTGAAATAAAATGTCTGATAAAGTGATAAACAATAATCTTGTCAAGGTGTAAAGAGGGGTTTTGAAAATACCTCGAGTTAAAAAAGAGTATAAGTGCTTAAATGCACTAGCTCAAAATAGCTTCAACATAATATATATATATGAATGTAGACCTTCCATTCATTTCGCGTTTCAGTCATACAGGCCTATGTTTCAGGACTATGTGCTGGCATTTAATATTCAATATTTTATATAAAACTGTTTCTTTTGTTGAGATGTACAATTCAAAAGGAATGGGGCTAAGTTTACAGGAGTTTCGTATACATAGACCGTCTATACATCCATTGGAACCATTTTTAAGTAAACTTAAACGACTTTAGAACTTAAATTTGTATATAATAATACTCTAATACTCTATTAAATTTCTATAAATATAAATTTAAATATTGGATGTCATTCGTAAGAGCTTTTAACATTTTAGCAATTGAATCTTAGATATAGCTTAGCCTAGTGAATTGATAATTATTTGTAGTATTTTATTATTTATTTAAATTGTATTGAATTTAATTTTTTAATTAATTACATTTTTGAATCGCATTCAACTAATCCATTTCATTTTCCATTCCAACCACACAGAGATGAGAAGCAACCTCTGCAAACACCGACTGGCAGCATAAAACAGAATTCGACAGTGGAATTCGATGGAAAATTTGTGCACTCACGCAGCGGTGAAATAATTGGCAAGAATTCGGCAGTGTGAATGGAATTCTAAAAAGCTCCCATCAACGCCAGAATCCTGTGAAGGCATTTAGAGTGGAAAAAACGTATTTAAAGTTAAATTATAGAAAAAACCGACTTAAACAAAAAATAGAAAAATAAACAAAAACTAAAGCGAACAAAATGAAGAAAATTAAATATAAAAGCAAAAAAAAAAAACATTCAACAAATCCACATAAATTTAATGGTTTTAGACTAAGACGAACCCTCTCCATATGCGTTCCGTTGAAAGTACTAGAAATAAAATTTATTAAAAGTCCAAAATAGAGAAGAAAAGAATAATAGTTTCTAGCTTAGCTTTTAATTTTTAAATTGTAATTAATATAAATCAATGAATTTTACTTAATTTAAGATTTTATTTTAATAACTTTAATTTAAGTTTAAGCTATTTTTTTACTAATTTTAAGCAAACAGTTCAATGCTCAGTTATATTTTATCAGTTCAAATGTATTTACGAGGTGCTATAATTTTGAGGAACTTTAAATGCAGAAATTACAATAATCATTGATATTTAATTAGAATTTAATATTTATTAAATCATATATGAATATTTAAATAATATTAACATATTATTAAAATAATATTAAATCATTATTAAAATAATTTTTAAAGAATATTAAATCATTATTAAAATAATATTTAAATAATATTAAATCACTATTAAAATAATATTTAAATAATGTGAAAATATTATTAAAATAATATTTGATTAATACTAAAATATTATTAAAATAATATTTGAATAATACTAAAATATTATTAAAATAATATTTGAATAATACTAAAATATTATTAAAATAATATTTAAATGATATTAAAATATTATTAAAATAATATTTAAATAATTTTAAAAAAATATTTGAACTATATACAGACGTTATTTAAATAATTTCAAAATAATACCAAAATATTAATATTAATATATTATTAATATAAAATTCATAAAGTATTAATAATTTTTTCAAATTCTAAATTGCGCCTAAAAGATGCAACAAAAATAATTAAACCATTACATATTCAATGATATTCAATATACCAGTTAATTATAATATAAGAATTCAATTTAATAATATAATATAAATCGAAGAAGGCTTAAATAGTGTTCTAGTCTACAATGTAGTCCTCGCAATTTTTCTGATAGAAGGCCTTAACATATTATAAACTGACTTCCTTCAACAAAGAATCCTTATTATAAAAATTTCTTATCATCAAGATTAATGCTTATGAGGAATTATCTGTGTTTAGTTTTTTCCTTATTTATAGCACCTCAGTAGAATTAAAAA